ATGTAACAACGCATCTTCACAGCCGAAACCGTAAACACCTGAAAAAAGGAAAAATGCAGTCGGAACCTCAGAACCCTGCAGTCGGAACGGAAAAAATCCTCAGCTGTGACAGAAAGAAATAAGAAACTTCAAACCATTTACCGAGGGAAAGATGTGCTACTGCATCGATTGCAATTTGTCTATGCACTTGATCTCGCTCCATCATAGCATCAACTAGCAAAGGTGTTACTGCATAAATATAATCCTTTGCCATCTCCCCGATATACTGCAACAAAACCATGATTAGAGTCCAAATGCATTTTTTCAACAGGATATATTCAACGATTTGCTGGAATTTAAACGCGAAAACGCATGTTTTTAAGGCGCCGTGCACAGAAATTCCAAGTACGGTAATTACATATGGATAATTACGGCAATCCTATTTTACAAGTCCTTTTAAGGACTGTTCGGGTTGAGTTTGGGGCCTAAATTGCACTCAGCGAAACCTATAGCAAAACGAGACCCGCTAGTTTAGTTAAAACGTTCTGGCGAAAGGGGTGAGTGCAAAATGCCCCTCCCAAATCGAACAGCGCCGCCCTACTAATTCCAAAAGCATCAGCACCACAAATTATGTCGAGAAACCTTCCTACCTCAAACATAAACGACAAAGCTTTGAGCACTCCATTCTGTACATTCATTTCCGGTACTCGATACTCATTCATAATGGCTGGGAGTACGGTGAAAGGAGCGCATGTCTTCTGCCACTATAGCTATCGCTACCGTAGTACACACACGCAGCTGTCTCTCTTGTACTTTCAAGTTGTTCAAGAGCGTGGCAAGAACATCATGAGGACCAATGGCCTATAAAATATTCGATGATTCAATGGATACGAAATCGCCCAGAAATATAATTTCATTAACACCATACCTTAGCAATGAATCCAAACGTATTGATGGCAGCTCTACGAATGCTTTTCTTGTGAGCTTTGAGCAGTTCCAGAAGTTCGAAACAAATTCTCATCCATTCACGAGCAGACACGAATTCTGAGCCACGATCCGCAATCGCACCAACCAAATCAATACAGTTTTCTTGCACCTTCTCGTGACGATTTTTAAGAATCGGAGTCAACCTGAAATTTCAGTGGTATAAACAGCAGTCACCACATGATGGAGCGATATGTATGGACGTATTAGAGACACAGACGGTATACAGCACCCACGGAAATCGCGCGTGAAATCAAGTGTGCGGCTCCGGAATACACAATATTTTGTGCACGGGAACCGGCTCATGCCGAGGAAGCTCTGGCGTGAGGCCGGCAACGTTAACTCAGTCTTCTACCTCTAGCCAGCGGCTGCTCGGCGAGATCTGAACGGTGATGTGTGCACTGTCAGCTCCTACGTAGTCAGTTTTGCGCGCTTTTTGGGGAACTGTATACCGCCTGTTTTCCTAAACTTGATGGACGGTATTAAGGA